GTTACTATTCATTTTTTTGTTTTATTCACAACTTTTTTTACCTCAATAATTAATTTGGATAATATTTTCGGATAAGATTTTCGGGTTCCTACGTGTCAATACTATTCATATCTCATAATCGGATAAAATTTTCAATTTCAAATTTCAGATAAATTATAAAAAAAAGGCTGGTATTTATAGAAAAAAATTCATTAATTTTTGGGTATTTTTTAAAAAAATTTCCGAATTTTTTTCAGTATTTTATTGCAAAAAAATTGGATGCCGTTGGATTGGAGGAAAAAATCAGATCGGAGAGCCCAGACGACGCCACGTGGCAACAGGAAAAAAAATCAAATCAGCGAGGTACTGTAGCGATACTGTAGCGGGCTACTGTAGTAGTACTGTAGCAGATACTGTAGCAGATAATGTAGCGCTACAGTAACCCCCCTCGTTTTGGACCTCGGGTAAGACTTGCCTTGCCTCCGGGCCAGCCCGGGGAGGTGGGTCCACCCCCCCCCCCGGGCCTGGGCTGCTCCGCTGGAAAGCCATTTTTTTTTTTTTACCCCTAGCCTCGGGCTGGGCTGCATGGGTGGAAAGGCTCTAAAGAGAAGGATTCAGGCATTCACACACCAAAGGAAAGAAAAGAGCTATGGAAGTGACAACACAATGGCCCCCCTTTTACACGCTTTACGTACAAACTTTTGCTTTTGAGTTGGAATTTATCGGGAGGTTTCCATGCACAATGACCAACAACTACAACCCTATGGGAAGAAGCTTCGAAGAAAACCAATTCCTAATGCAAGGAAATTTTCTAGTGGTAGACTTCTAGTCTTCCACCGTCAAATGTGCTCCATACAAAAATAAAAGAAATACTCTATTTCAGTGGAGCTCCCGGGAGAAGAAAACAAAATTCCAAATTGAATTTCAACAGCAAAATAAAAGTACCCAAAAAAAGAAGAAAAAAAGCTAAAGGCATTTTATAATCACTGCAGATCTGTCATGGCCTCAATTCCCCAAAATATGTCATGACCATTGAGATCGAAACCCACGATATGTTATATATTATCAAGTGTGAGATTTTTTGGATTGTTTTCTTTCCCATTGAATATAATTTTCAAGTGCCATTGGCTATAGTTCTTTGATCTTTGGTTTCTTCTGCTCTGCTGTTGCCCTTTCAATACAACTCTTTTGAGATTCAAGCCCTTTCAATAGCTTCCTAGTTGTTTCAAGGAGGGCCTATAATTATCTCAACTTTTTTTTTTTTTGTTTACAACATTGATAAAATCTAAATTGATTATATAGATACAAACAAACAATAAATATGTTAAGTGTGAAATTTTTTGGATCTGTTTTTTTTTTCCCCCTTTGATTAGGCGGAAATCATGACATGTTTGTGGAAGAACAAAGGCCATGGCAGATCTCAAGATGAAGGGAGGGTATATTAGATTTATTTTTAAAATTTATTGAAATTGTTTAATTCTTTTTTGGACTAAATAATAATATCGGTTTCATCTACAAGCCCTCTGCTTTATCCCACAAAATCCCAACTTTGTGCGCATATAGTCAGCATTTTGCCATACAATAGACATATTCCACACTTTTCCGAATATATAATAGTAATAAATAAATAAAAGTAGAGAGTAGCGTGATTTACGAACTTTTGCTTTTGTGTTATTTCTTTTTTATAATTTTTTTAAAAAAATGCCGAAATTGAGGATAATATTATCCTACTTTTGTATTTTCTTTTTAAAAAGATATGCGAGTAATGACCATCTTCTTTTGACCCCATAGGCAACAATTGTACTAGTTCAGACTTGACTATATGCACACGAAGTAACAAAACAATCCAGCAAAATCATCAAAGCTTGAAAAGAGTAGAGAAGAAATAGCCCAAGCACTTTCGGCGTGTTGCCTAACATTGGGTTTATCGCTGGAGTCCTTGTGCAAGTAATCACTTTAACTTTGGGACATTTTGAAAAAAGCAAAAGGAGAGAGAAAAATTTTAAAAGAAGCAAAAATGGACAAAAATACCCTTATTTATTTTTAGATTTCCTAAGGAATCAAATACATTTGCATGTCTTTGATTTGAAAGTTGAGCGGTTTTTTTGTCTTTTTTGAAAAAGTTTTGGCTTTTTCCAAAAGTGAAATTTTTTATATGTCTAAAACCTAAAAAACCTTTAAACTTTAGTCTTTGTGTATGATCGTAATAGATTTGCATAAGAGGGCTTAATTAGGATTTTATCAATTGATTAAATATTTATTTGCCTTCAAGTAAATTAGGACTACTTTAATGCAACACAGTCCAACTTTATATTCTAATGCATGTGATGTGAGGATGAAATGTTTGCTTCGAGACACAAATCTCTTTTCTTTTCTTTTTTTCTTTTTCTTCTTGGGAGTACAAGTTATTGGGAGGGGATGAGATTTACATAAATATTCATTAGGTGTCTAATTTTACACAAATCTTTTGATGCTATGGCCCTTTGAAAAACTAGTGGTTGAAAAAAGTAAATAATTTGACCCCAAAATAACATAAAAATAACTTCAGTGGTAGTTGTAAAGAAAAGTCTTCATCGTAAATAGAATTCCAGTGGTAATCTTCAACGTATACATATATATAAAAGGAAAGATTAATCAGCCTAGAAATTAATTTCCAACTGTAGATCATCTTTTGAAGCTACCACTGATCATAGGATGAGCAATTAGTTCATTAAATTGGATCAATTGATATCATTGTCTACTGCTCCTTTCCTACTTGCTTTACAAAATTACATTGCCATATGGACTTGCTTTTGCTTCTGCTTTCTTTCTTTTTAGCAATAAGTTGTGTTCTTATATACATTTGCCCTTGTTTTTTCTTTTTCACTTCTCAGGGCATCGTTGGGCAGTATACCCATATTAGAAGAGAAATCAGTTTGGGCATCGTTGGGCCCTCAGATCAAGAACGAAGTTACAAAGAGATTACTTGCCTGATCAGCAAATATTACGAGAGGAACAAATAATATGATTTACATGATGAGTAGAGGATTAATATTTATGGGTAGAGGAGTAATAATAGGTAAGAGAATAAACTTGTTCTCCTGTTATGGTCAAAAGACAAAAGGTCATAGAACACTATTTTAGATAATGATGATGTTCCTGACTTGATACAAAATGAAGATAAAAGGTGGCTTTATATAATAGCCACTACAAGATGATGATTGCATATTATTATTATTAGGCTTAATTACACCAATGTTCTATGAAACTTTGATCAAATCCCACTTTGTCCCATGTCGTCAACTCCATTCAAAAATCAGGTTAATTTTGATGACGTGGCAAGTGAAGGACCAACTTTTATGTTGATGTGTCAATACAAACAATAAAAATGTCCTTAAAATAAGAAAACATTAATATTCTTAATAAATATTTTTACAAGATGTGGATGATGTTTGCATATATTAAAAATAACCAAGTAGGCATCAAACGCTAATTTTGCTTTACTTTTTTTTCTTGGAGGAGACTCAACCTTGTTCCTTAATAATAAATATTTTTGGTACATGGGATGGGAGGGCAAAAAGCTTAAATTGAGTTTCTTTCTGGCCACTGAATAGAATATTAGAAGCCTTGTTTATGGGCCGGGTCGAATCCTCCCGCTCTTGCGTCAGCGTCAACACCACTTGTCAATACAGAGAAACGGCGACGTTTGTGTTCCATTGCTCTGCATTCAAGTTCCATGGTTGCAGCAATGCCGCCGAAGCTGATAACTTTGCAAGTAAAGTATATCAGATATTATTAATTTTATTTATGCCCTTTTTTCTCCATGGTTGCAGTAATGAATAAGCTTTCAAGCTTCTCTTAACTTGCGGATGATCAGATATTCAGACTGAGATTCAATTAAAACTTGATAATTTTTCTTAATCTGGAATTGATTGATGTCTTGTTTTGTTCATTCCATGCACTAAATTTAATGTTGCAGCTGCTGATGTGAAAACACATATGAATCGCTACTTGTTGATTGCTACTAGTGGAGGCTTAAACCAACAAAGAAGAGGGGTGAGTTTCTTGATTGAGCTAGAGTTGCATAGTTTTCTTCTATTCAAGGCTTAACTTATTGTTCTAATTTGTTCATATAAAGGCTTAAAAGAACCTTGTGGTTATGCATTCAGATTCCAAATGACTTCTTTATTAGTCTAATTGTCGATAGTTATTTCGTTTTGGCATCTGGTTATAAGTAGCTCTTGTATAGGACTAGTTGATAGGACTTTGTAACTTTTTCATTCCGTGAGTGAATAGTGATTAGACTGGCTTCTAATCATGCATGTTTTTGTTGCTGATTCTGTCTCTGATGCTTTGTTTCCTGATTCTGTTACGATAACTGATGCTGTTGTTGCAGCTTATATCTTGAATGCTACTCTTGTTGTTCTCAAGCTCGACCAGAAATCGTTTTGGAAGGATTCCAGGTCAGTTTCAACATATCACAGTTAAAGAACTATTGTCAGAGTATTTATAATGTTATTTCGTGTATTTGGTGCAGCAGCTTCGATGCAATCTTTGATGTGGACTGGTTTATATCATCTCTCGCAGAAGACGTTGAAATCATTAAACAGCTTCCAACGAAGGGAGGAAAATCAACGAGTCCCAAGGAAGTGTAATGCAAAATGCTACCAGAATCGTTTAGTGTCTGTTCTTAATAAAAAGCTTGTAAGTGTCTTTCAGGAGGCGTAAATAGACTCCTATTCAGATTTTGAAACTTGCAAATTAAAGCCACTGGAACATCTTTTGCTGTTTTCTTTTTTCTTTTCATTTTCCCTGATGCTTCTTGCCGTAAGGCACGAATGTTTATATGAAAGCAAGTTTAGGATTTTTCACTTCTTCTTCATGCTTCACTCTCTTTCATTTTCTCCAATTTCTCCCCTCGCTCTTCTTTTAGTACGTGTTCTATGATAGGCATTGAATCCAACGATGGCCCTGCTTTCTTCATCTCCAGAAATCCAATTGATGTACAATTTAATACTGTTGACTTTTTAACAATTGAAAACTTGAAATCAATGAAGGAAATTACATGGCTTACATGGGGCGTTAAAACAAACTCAAAATCAAAAGCATCCTCAGCCACAAGGCTTGCAAAGCAAACAGCTCAAATCAAAAGAAATTTTGAATTTCGTCATCTTGGGCATACAAAGCCCTCTGCTTTATCATCTCAGCATCTTTGCCATACAACAGACATATCCCACACTTTTCCACCCCCACCTCGTCCCCCACCGGAAGGGGTTCGCGGTGATAATTCAGTAGGTTGAAGTCAACATTGACCTCAGTAAAATGGTTGTAAAACACAGTGGGGCTTCGAGCTTCCTCTGCAACTTCTTCAAAGACATTATTATACCACCACACAAACACCTCATGTGAATCTTCATAAACAAAGGTTAGTTCATTTATTTGTGAATCATAAAACAAAGGATGGTTGACTTCATGGTTTTCACCATTACTAGTTTTGAAGTTGTACTTGCATCCAATCTTCTGTGCAGCACAGCCAACAACAAAAGATAGAGCAAAACCAAAGAAATCTGTGCTAAACCAATCAGGAGGAAGCTCAATCTTTATTGAAGATCCCTCACTTTGATGGCTGAACCATTTTGGAATTTCATATCCCCAACATCTAATGGCAACCGAAGATTTCTTGCCAAAAAATTCCTGTACCATGGATATGGACATCATAGTTATTAAACTCGTGAAAAAAATAGACAGAATGAGTAAGGCAGACAGAGTGTGTGTGTGCAGAGAGAGAGAGAGAGAGAGAGAGAGAGAGAGAGAGAGAGAGAGAGATAGACAGAGAGACCTTCTCTGATTCATCATGGAAATAATCTGAATCATATGATGATTGTTCATACTTCTGTCTTCTTTAAACTTTGATGACGCAGTTGCCATTCGCATAATTTTGAGCTGTGCATCACCCATTATGTTGCTTCGTGCACTCTCATCCAACCTTCTGCAATTAGAAAATATATGTTTCTCATGAAGCCCTCGAGAAAATATATATTCTTCCCAACCTTGTGTGATTGCAGTGCTTGAACTTGACACTGTCTTCAGTGACGTGCAACCTTCTGCTTCAAGACATTGCAGCAATGGGGGGAGCTCTGGTAAAAATTCAAGGCTCTTGCAATCCCTTAGGCACAGGCAAGACAGCTGTGCAGCTTGTTTGATGCTTGCAGGTATTCTCTTAATTTTGGTGCTACTCAGATCTAACTCTTGTAATGAGGTTAAGTAAAAGAGGTCATCAGGGACAACCTCAAGGTTATTGCAATCACCGAGATCTAATTTTCGAAGCGCAACTAGATTTCCAATTGATGGGGGTAGCTCTTTAACTGATGTACCTGATAAATTTAGAAACTCCAGATGTTCCATAGCCTCCAAGATTTCAGGGAAGTTTTGAAATTTGGAGCAGCAACTGAGATCAAGGCTCTCCAGAGATTTCAACTTCCAAATGTTCGTTGGGAGACTCACAAGGTTTCTGGAAGATAAGAATAATGTCTCACTCAAATCTAGCACTCTTGTATTCGTGGGAAGCTCCCAAAACCCGCAAAGAGATTCACAGCCATTTAGACTAAGAGAACCCGAGAGTTTCAGCTTACAACTGTTGCTCGGAAGACTCCTAAGGTCTCTACAATATGTAATATCTAAGTGAGATATTTTTTCGTGAGACCAAACTGATGAAGGCAATTCCTCTATTGCTGTGTCAGATAAAAGTAAGACTTCAAGATTACATGGCATCTCGGGAAGATTTTTGAGATTTGTGCAGCCCCCAAGGTCAAGATAAGTAAGCTTGCCAAGATGTTGAAAATACAAAGGAATTTCAACCAAACTTTCACAGCCCCACAGATCTATATGCTCAATTTTCAGACTCCGAGAGAGATTTGGGACTTCAGTTAGATGTTTGCATTCATTAAGACAGATCCATTTTAAGTTCACAGGACTCTGTAACAAATTAAACAAGAATTAATAACTTATTAGCTTGTAGATTATTACTTTCTCGGTAACATGTTATACAGGAACTAAAATAAGCATATATAATATACCTGGTCTTCATTCCAAAGTTGCCCCCCAACGACGCTGGACGAAATTTGAAGGAAAACAAGATTTTGAGCAGAAAATTTTGATGGCAAAGATTTCAAAGGATAATCGTGCCATTCAAGAAATCTAATAGAATTGGGAAGATCAATTGATGGAAGAAAATGACTGACACGTAGGAATCTCAGTTGATACATCTTTTCGAAGTTTGCATGTTCCAACTCCAAGTGTCGGGTTTTAGAATCAGACAAGTGAAAGGATATGGCTTGAACATGTCCATCTCTCTGACAATCAAGAGGAAAATATAAATGTAAATATAATATACAAAAAAATATTTGAACAAAATTACATGTATAGGAATAATCTGACTTGTTATTTGTAAATGTGAATATTACTACGTACTTGGTTATTTGTCAACACTTGATAGACATCCTCAGCATTGAACAACCTACTACGTTGTTCTCGAGCAATTGCCCTACCCATTTCTTGCACCAAATCATGCATTTTTATAAATCCTCTTGACAGCAAATCTTTCCGTCGTACTTTTGAAATTGATATGAGAGACCTATCAATAAGATCATTGATTCCCTTTTCCCCACGGAAACCACAACCATCTAATAATTTTTGTACATAATTCCTCTCATAGCCTTTATAAAAACATGCTATATCAAGAAACATCTCCTTCTCATTTTTTCCTAATCCATCGTAACTTATTCTCAACACTTCCTCGATTTCTTCGTTTGAAAAATGTTTCAAATTGTTCCATTGGTCTTCCCACTCTTGTTTGCTCCTGCAACGATGGAATAAGGACCCCATAACTTTAAGAGCTAATGGATTGCCCTTACTATAAACTATCACCTTTTTTGACAACCCAACATAATCTGTTGTTGGAGACTTATTTCTGAAAGCACGGGAATGAAAGAGCTGAAGAGCTTCATCAGAACCTAATCCCTCAACATTGTATATCTTTTCATGGTCAACTTTTTGCTCAAGTAGGCCTTTATCTCTAGCAGTTATAATGATTCGACTTCCTTGGCAAAACCGATCATCATCACCAACAAGATCTTCTAGTTGTTTTCGAGCATTCACATCATCAAGAACAATGAGCGCCTTTGTACGCCTGAGCCTATCTTGAATATGAAGTGGTATAGATGGAGTGTTGATATTAAAGGAGTCCTTTAATATTTCACCAAGAAGTGTATTTCGCAATTGTTTTAGTCCATCCGTTTGTTCTGATTTCTCCCTAACATTTGCAAGAAAACAAGCAGCATCAAATTTAGAAGACTGCCTGTGAAATACAGCATCAGCAAGGGTGGTCTTGCCAATACCACCCATGCCCCAAATACCTACACAGCAAACACCTGTTGAATCCAACCACAATAACGACTCCATTTCCTCAATTTTTCTTTCAATTCCAACCAGGCCCCTTAAATCACTTGACGATTCGCGATTCAATTTGGTCAAAACATGTTGGACAACTTCCTCAACAAAATCGGCCTCCGTCCTGGCAAATATCATTATGAAAGACGAACAATGGTAAGCATGAATGAAATGAAATTAAAGTTGAAATTGATACAAGTTAGGGAGTTGGCTACCCCTTTTTGCTTGAATAAGGAAACCCAGACATATTGGCTGCTTCCTCCAAAGCGGCTCTCCAGTTGGTCACCTCATCCGTACTGCGCTTAAGTGGACGATCTTCGAGTGCATAAGTTCCCTGCTGTTTTCGTACATGTGATGGATCTATGCCATAAAAAATGGGTATAACAATTTGTCCATAGCTTTTCTTGCATTCTAGTATATGCACAAGTTCTTTCAAACACCATGTGGAAGAAGCATAGTTTTTTGAGAAAATGACTACGGCAATTTTCGATTTCTTGATTGCTTCTTTAAGGGAAGGTCCAATGTCGTCTCCTTTCTCAAGTCTGTTATCTATGTAGGTCTCAATTTGCTTCCGAAGTAAAGCCGCATGAAGATGGCTGGTAAAAGCATCGCGTGTGTCCTCACCTCTGAAACTAAGAAACACATCGTACTTTTCTTGAAGGGGAGCAGGAAAAGGAAGAGAAGAAGAAGACGATGAATTCATATCCGTATCCAAAACCTGCAAACTTACAAGTCAAAACATGCATATATGCATATATATATTCATAAAATATGCAAAAACGCTAGGTCCAAAAATTAGCTTTGTGCATATTCAGTAAATGATAAAGGAAATTAAACAACTAGTGGCACTCAAGCGATTTTGTAAATTACCAACTGAAAAGAATAAGTGAAATCTACACTTACATATCAGAATGCTGTTTATCATGCGCCGAATCAGCTCAACTGTAATTATAAAAAATAAAAAATTATATCTCAACTGCCTGCATTGTAAGTGACATGATTATTTTCTTGTCATAATAGTAAATGTAAGCTCATCAAAATTTTGGAGGCTCGTATGTTAGTTTCAATATTTCTTGTAGCCGACCAGATTACTAGGATCGTTCTATTCGTCTGTCAAAGCCTTTGGCTTGAATCAAATTACTTGTCTATTATCTTTCAAATTATTGTGCAGCAAGGAACAGGGCCAAAACTCTACTTCTAGAAATCGAAATCATCGACCCAAACCAAAAGCTATGTGGATTTCAAATTTACAAAACATCCAATACCCAATTCTCAAGATAAGATTTTTCATCGACTTACTTGATAAGGTAGCGGAAAAACAAGAAAATATCAGAGAAATATAAGGAAAAAATTGGTACCTTGACAGAAGGAGTTATGGATATTGGCTTACACTAAAAAACTGGACTGGTGTCTTATTGCAGAATAATCTCTGATTTTGAATCATCTGAAGCCGTCTTCTCAGCTACCTCTTTCTTCAGCGGTTGAGCTTTCAATTTGCGGAAGCTGCCTCTCCACTCCACACTCATGACCGATTCTCTAGTCTGATGTCTCTCTAGCTCAACTAAAGACAACGGTTTTTTCATTTTCCTTTTATTTATTTTTCTCTTTTTGCAAATCTCACGTGACCTCCACGTGCTCTGAACAAAAATAGACAAAAAGAAATGGGTAAACTGCCGAATTGCCCCTTGAACTTATACATAATTATCAATTTACCCCCTAACTTTTTTTTTCAAAAAATTAAGGACTCGAATTAAATTTTATTCCCAATTTCCCTCATGCCATCTAATTTCTCAACATTTCATTAAATTTTCTGTTAACTCATTAAAAATATATATACATATTTTTTTTTGGAAAAAAAAAAAATTAAAGAAAAGAGAGCCCCACCTCTCTCTCTTTCACACCAGCCATCCTCCCCTCCTCCTTAACCCAAAACCACTCAACCCCAAAATCTTGACAACCCCGAATTCCCTCATCCAACAACAAAAAACCATCGCTCTCTCACTTTCTCTCTTTGGGAAAAACTCAATCGCCCAAACATCAAGGAATTCTGCTTCAGCTTCAAGTTCAGATTCCTTGATTGGTTGCAAACCACTTCCTAGGCCTCCACTGTATATGTTTCTTGCAATTGAGAAACTTCTGACAATTTTCTTTCTCTTCATCTCCATTTCACCATCAAGCTCCAAAGATTGTAGCACTGAAGTTGAGCTATTAACCTTGTTCTTGTAAGCAATTGCTGCCTTCACAAATTCTTACAAAAACCCAGAAAAAATAAAATCAATAATTAACCTCTAGAATCCCATATCAATCGAGATCAAGGGATTTATTTTTTCTTTTTTTAAAAAAGTAGGTAAGATACCTGATAAGCAGATGGGCAATCAATAATTAACCTCTCGCAATTTTTATTATATGCGAACTACTTGACGAGCTTTGCAGCTTTTATTTATTTATCGATATACGAGTTTTGCAGCTTAGTTGTTCATTGAGATGTATAAATGGCAATCAAGTAATACTTTGGATTAAAAAAATATTTTTTTTAACAAAAAAAGGTGCAACTATATATATCTCCTAAAAGCTTGGGGCAATGTTTATTATCGCCAATATTTCATTAAATTTTTTTTTTTGGGTCTGAAAAAAAAAACAGTGAATGTTGAGGTGTCCGATTACAGCTCAATCAGACAACTGAGTGTAAATTTTTGTCCCCATAATTGGTGGAAAAAAGTGTGAAAATTACATTTAAAGTTGACCCAGAAATTCCATGATAAGCCAATCTTTAAGTTTCTACGAGCACAACAGTTGCATTTAATGCATCCATCGACTATTTGTCCTATAGATTGATGATTCTAATGTATAGATTTTTTTAAATAAATTTTTTGGTCGCTTTATCCTTCTGTTTTTATATTGCCTTTTACTGTTATCACAATTACTCAATCCAAACTGGCAAGAGAAAAGAGAGGAGGCCTTAGGCCTAGTTTGGGATTGCTGTCACTTTTAAAAAAAGTTGCTTCTGCTGTGCTTTAAAAATAATTAGCTGTAAAATAAAGCAGCTCCATGTTTGGTAAACACTATTTTTAAAGTGCTGTTAGTACAAAAAGCAGTGTTAAAACTGTTTGGTAAACTTTAATATAAAATTGTTGTAACTGTGAATAATGACTAAAATAGACATGATGTTAAAAGTGTTATGCACTAATCATGTGGTGGTAGTGGTAGTGATAGTGACGGAGTGGAGTTGAGGGTGGAGATGAAGGCGAAGTTGATGGTTGTGGTGGTGGGGATGGCAGTTGTGGAGGTGGTGATGGTAGTGGCAACATGGTGGTGGTGGTGGATGGTGGTGGTGGTGGTAGTGGCAGCATGGTGGTGGTGGTGGTGGTGGTGGAGGTGGAGGTGGTGGTGGTTGTGGTGGTGGCGGTGGTGGTGAATGAGGAGGAGGTGATGTTGGAGGCGGTGGTGGCGAAGGATGAGGAGGAGGAGGATGTGGTGGTTGTCGTGGTGGTGGTGGGGGTGGTTGTGGAGGTAGTAAATGTGGTGGTGCAAGTGGTGGAGTTGGATGTGGAAGTGAAAGTGGTGTCTTTTTTTAAAATGAATGATGATATTTTGGGAATTAAAAAAATTCATTAAATGTTTATCTATGCTTCTTTTGAAAACAGCTTTGAAAAGCAACCCAGAGTCAGCTTTTAAAAGCTGCTGTCAAAAGGCCACTGCTTTTAAAATAATCAGGATATTTTAATTTTACCAAACACCTTAAACTGCTTAACTTTAAAGTTAAGCAGGTTTTTAGCCAAAAAAAGCAATCCCAAACGGGGCCTAAATATGGGAGTTGGATTGGATCATACTTTTGTATAGGTTAGGACTGATGATAATTACTTAAATGACATTATTAACAATTTAATAGTTGAATTGAATGAAGAAAATTACTAAACTCAAAAGCATCCTCAGCCAAAAAGCTTGGCGATGGAGAGGGCGAAGGGTTAAAACAAGAAAGACATCCCTCAGCCTAACAAACTCAAAAGCATCCTCAACCACAAGTCTTGCAAACAGCTCAAATAAAATGAAAATTTGAATTTAGGGATATCTGCTTGATCTACAAAGCCCTCTGCTTTATCATCTCAGCATCTTTGCCATACAACAGACATATCCCACACTTTTCCACCTTCACCTCCGAATAGCCATAACAATCCATTACGGTGAAGTCAACATTGACCTCAGTAAAAAGTTTGTAAAACGCAGTGGGGCTTTGAGCCCCCTCCACAACTTCTTCAAAGACATTACTATACCACCACACAAACACCTCATGTGAATCTACGCGTCTAATAGTCCATGGCAATCCCGGATTACACAAAGGATGGCTGACTTCATGGCTTTTACCATTACTAGTTTTGAAGTTGTACTTGCATTCAAGCCCGAAATACTTAATAAAAGATGGATCCAAGCCTCTCTTGTTTGCAACAACAAGAGATAGAGCAAAACCCAAGAAATCTGTGCTAAACCAATTACGAGGAAGCTCAATCTTTATTGAACATCCCTCACTTTTATGGTTGAACCATTCTGGAATTTCATAGCCCAAACATCTAATGGCAACCAAAGATCTCTTGCCAAAAAATTCCTGTACCATGGACATGTACATCATAGTTATTAAACTTGTGAAAAAGAAAAGCAACTTCTTCAACAGAAGAGAGAGAGAGAGAGAGAGAGAGAGAGAGAGAGACCTCATCTGAATCGTATGATATTTCTTCAATTTTGTCTTCCTTATCTGAATCATATGATGCTTCTTCACTTCTGTCTTCTTTAAACTTTGATGACGCAGTTGCCATTCGCATAATTTTGAGCTGTGCATCACCCATTATGTTGCTTCGTGCACTCTCATCCAACCTTCTGCAATTAGAAAATATATGTTTCTCATGAAGCCCTCGAGAAAATATATATTCTTCCCAACCTTGTGTGATTGCAGTGCTTGAACTTGACACTGTCTTCAGTGACGTGCAACCTTCTGCTTCAAGACATTGCAGCAATGGGGGGAGCTCTGGTAAAAATTCAAGGCTCTCGCAATTCCTTAGGCACAGGCAAGACAGCTGTGTAGCTTGTTTGATGCCTGCAGGTATGCTCTTAATTTTGGTGCTACTCAGATCTAAATTTTGAAGCGCAACTAGATTTCCAATTAATGGGGGCAGCTCTTTAACATCTGTACATGATAAATTTACAAACACCAGATGTTCCATAGCCTCCGAGATTTCTGGCAAGTGTTGAAAGTTAGAGCACCCACTGAGATCAAGGCTCTCCAGAGATTTCAACGTCCAAATGTTCGTTGGGAGACTCACAAGGCTTTTGCAATTGATCAGTTTAATTGCAGTGAGACCAACAACAGACTCTATTGATGTATTCCTCAATTCTTTTATTGTTGCATCTCTCAACTTTAGCACTGTTGTACCACTGAGATATGCAGCCTTTTAGACTAAGAGAACCCGAGAGTTTCAACTTACAAGTGTTGCTTGGAAGACTTTTAAGGTCTCTACAATATTTAATATCTAAGTGAGATATTTTTTCGTGAGACCAAATTGATGAAGGCAATTCCTCTATTGCTGTCCAAGACAAATCTAAGAATTCAAGATTGCATGGCATCTCAGGAAGATTTTTTATTTTTTTGCACCGCCCAAGGTGAAGATAAGTAAGCTTGCCAAGATGTTGAAAATACGAAGGGATTTCAACCAAGCTTTTACAGCCTGGCAGATTTATATGCTCAATATTTAGACTCCGAGAGAGATTTGGGACTTCAGTTAGGTATTTGCAAAAACGAAGACTGATCCGTTTTAAATTCACTGGACTCTGTAACAAATTAAAGAGAAATAACAAGAATTAATAACTTAGTTTGCAGATTATTACTTTCTAGGCCACATGTTATACAATAACTAAAATAAGCATATATAATATACCTGGTTTTCATTCCAAAGTTGCACCCCAACTTCGTTGGATGACATATCAAGGACAACAAGGTCTTGAGCAGAAAATTTTGATGGCAAAGATTTGAAAGGATATTCGTCCCAGCTAAGATATCTAAGAGAATTGGGAAGATCAAGAGAAACAATTGACCGACAATAACGACCGAAGACACGTAGGAATCTCAGTTGATACATCTTTTCGAAGTTTGCATGTTCCAACTCCAAGTGTAGCGTTTCAGTCTCATACAAGTCAAAGGATATTGCTTGAACATGTCCATCTTTCTGACAAATCAAAAGCAAAATATAAATGTAAATATAATATACAAAATTACATTTGTAGGAATAATCT